AGAAGCCGTAGCCCAAATGTTTCAGTTGACTGTTGCAGCATATATTTCTGTTTTGCTACCTACTTTTTGCCAGTCTAATAGGTCAGAGAGTTTTATAACTTCCTCTGATATTTTAATTTCTACTTCATATGATTTCAGTTCAAAGTTCCAGTAAACTAATAAGTGTATTTATAGGTCATTTATTCAGAATCAGGAAATTTGAAGAAATTTACCCATTTGAAGACATTTCCAAACAATTTCATCTCTAGTAGGTGTTCACTAAGTGCAAATGCTTTGTCTAGAGTCAAACTGCACTATGTGGTTGCTCTCTGTAAAACAGACTGCAGAACTGAGCAATCCAAGATTTCCCATTCAGGTCAGCGCTTTTGTCAAGTTACTAAATGAGATGATTGTCTCATAATATCTCTTTAGTGCTGTCTCAGCTGTGAAAACAGTCCTATGAGTTACTTTTTTATTAATATTACAGAAACTTTATGACATTGATGACTCCAACATATGACCAGCTAGAAGATGGCCCTAATATGTTTGTGTTTACAACAATGTCTCATAACTGGTTTATAAATTTCAAGGCTTCAGTTCATGTGCTGTTTTTAAAATGTACTCAACCTTTTGGAAAGTACATAACTTTACTCATGAAAATTCTAAAATTTCCTTTCCCCTCCCCTCTATTGCCTCCTACTCATCCCCAGTTTACTCATGGAGATCTCATCTATTTCCCCTTCCCAAGGTCATCCATGCTTCCCTCTTAGGGTCCTCCTTGTTTCTTAGCATCTCTGGAGCTGTGGGTTGTAGTCTAATTATCCTTTGCTTTAAATCTAGTATCCACTTATGAGTGAATACATACCATGTTTGTCTTTCTGCATCTGAGTTACCTCACTCAGGGTAATATTTTCCAGTTCTACTCATATACCTACAAGTTTCGTGATGTTATTGTTTTTTATAGCTGAGTAATATGCCATTGTGTATATGCACCACATTTTCTTTATCTATTCTTCAGCTGAAGGGCACATGAAAGAACTGGGTGGTTGAGCTGGGGGAGGGACAGAATGGGAGAGCAATGAAAGAGATGTCTTGATAGAAGAAGACATTATGGGGTAGGGTTGAAACCAGGTGCTAGGGAAATTCCCAGGAATCTCCGGGGATGACCCCAGATTAGGCTACTAGCAATAATGGAGAGGGTGCCTGAACTGAGCTACCCTGGTAATCAGATTGGTGAATACCCTGTCATCATAGAGCCTTCATCCAGTAACTGATGGAAGCAGATGTAGAGATCCACAACCAAGCATGGGGCTGAGCCCCAGGAGTTCAGTTTGAAGAGAAGGAAGAGGGATTATATGACCAAGGGGTGTCAAGATCACAATGGGGAAATCTAGAGACAACTGAACCAAGCTTGTAGGAACTTGTGAACTTTAGACTGATAGCTGTGGAACCTGCATGGGACCAGACTAGACCCTCTGCATACAGGAGACAGATGTGTAGCTTGGTCTATTTGAGGGGCCCCTGGCAGTGGGATCAGGATCTATCTCTGGTGCATGAGCTGGCTTTCTGGAGTCCATTACCTATGGTCAGAAGCTTTGCTCACCCTTGATGCAGAGGGGAGGGACTTGGTCCTGCCTAAACAGAATATATCAGGCTTTGCTGACTCCCCATGGGAGCCCTTACCCTTTTCGAGAGGGGAATGGGTTAGGGGAAGGGGTTGAGGCAGAGTGGGAGGAGGGATGGGAGGGGGATCTGTGGTTGGTATGTTAAATGAATGAATTTTTTTAAATAAAAAAAGAAAAATCTAAAAATCATAGGTGAGTAGAATGTCTTATAATTTTCTTGAGGTGACAAATAAGACAGTGAAATATTCCTTATGAGGAGAAACAACTTCTAAGGAATCACCAATTTTCCAAACTTTCAAAGCATCCCAGTTGACTTCAATCAGGAGAGAGGAGAAAACAAAGAAAGCATAGCAAAATGCATATCATCAGAGAACTGTTAAAATTATCTTGTAATTTGCTCAGAAGCTTGGAAAAATAAAGTAAATTATATTTGCAAATCACTCTTCTGGAATGTAAGTGGTGAGTTTATGTCAAGATATCCTTTCAGTATGAAACAAAACAAAACTCTAGATATCTACACCAATCCCTAGGGAAAACTGAATCCCATTAGGAGATATTATATTGAGATAATATTATATTGAAAAAGAATCAACTATGAGCTGCTCAACGCTTCTAGGCCTGAGCAGGCCTGTGGAGGGGGCACAGGTGATACCCCAACAAAAGTGTGTAGGATCTGGCCCCACCCCTCACCTGTCATGTGGTGGCATGAGTGAGGGAAAGATGCCCTCCCCCATCACCCATTACCACTTGCAACAGGATAGCTGCCTCCTGTGTCAAGAGAGTGGGAGAGATGGTCCTTGATGGCCTTAGCACATGGGAGAGTGGGCCCTGCACCCTGCCTGGGCAGCACCCTGGAGCTGACCCTGTTGGCAGGAATGCAGATGAACTGGCCCTGAGGTTGTGAGAGCAGAACTGACCCATGCCCCTCCTCTGATGCCCTCTACAGCAATTGGGAGAGCAGGCCCTGCATCACACCTGGGCAGAACAGTGGAGCTGGTCCTGGTGGTATGAGTGTGGGTGAGCTGGACCCAAGAGCCTGAGAGCAGGAGAATTGGCTCCACTCCTTGCTTCAGGCTTCAATGGGTGAGCTAGCTGAGGCGGTGCTGGAGAGCTCATCTGGGTGGTGACAATGAGGGAAAGCTTGAAAGCTGACAAACCCAGCTACCACCCAGGCCATGAGTTAGCCCAGACTATAAGTTAGCCCACCCCAATAACCTCATCTATGAACTGATGGAGCATGTGAAGGGGGAAAACCTTTGGATCCAAAGCCACAGGATCTCTATGACACAGAAGAACAACAAGACATTCAAGAGGAGCCCCAGAGACAGCCCATTATCAATAGTGTAGTAGAAGCCAGAGGCCTCAAACCAGACCAATGACTCATTGAAATGAACACTTAGAAGTAAAGATGTATGGTTTAAAGGGTATACTGTGTGACTCACTGGGTCACACTACAACTTCTACATGAAAATTTTGTTTGTTTTTGTTCTTATTTTTAAATTTTGTTTTGTTTTGTGGGGAAGATTGTCAGGGCAGAAAGTGAAGCAAGGGGACAGAGAGATGAGTGGGGTCAGGATATATGATGTGAAATCCAAATAGAATCAACAAAACATAAAAAAATTGAGATAAAATATTCCCACTTTGAAGATGAAATTTGTTGTGCATTAATTTTGAGAGCAATATAGCTTAAGTGTATATTTTTAAATTAGAGCAAAACTCAAGAATGACTTTATGATAATTTTAAAATATTTTTATTAAAACAGTAAAAATAGAAAATGCAATTTTAGCTTTCACAATCACAAGGAAAAATAGAGTACATATGTGGTGCTCAAAAATTATTAATTTTAAATAGGCTTTTACTACTCATGGTAACTTTGAAAATTGTTCACAGGATGTGTGTTGGAAGGGTGGCAAGATATTAATAAATGCATTGTTGTTTACAATGTTAAGAACAAACTGGTTGTTTTATTCATATCTCTAAGGAAAACATGGAGTTGTTTGTGTGGTTGTGGATGATCATTATGATAACTATCTTTCCAGAGTGTTTTTGACACTTCCTATTTTAAATATTAAATCAATTGCAATATATTCTAGCATTTATTTCATTAAGTAAATTGATATGGGAAAGCATATTTCTATCTTGTTTCATTACTTGAATTTATAGAGTAAAATATTTGGTCATTTGGTGATGCCAAGAAATGGATGTCCCATTGGTCAGGTTTGAAAAAGGTAATGAATTTTAATAAGACCACCACACCTCAAACATTGTATTTACTTTCTATAGCTTCAAATTCAGAGGTGCCAACAAACTATCAATGACATGAAGTGGTGATTTATTAATTTCTAAATGATATAAATTTATGCTAAGAAATTATTATGGAAAAACACTTCTTCAAAACACACTATGAAAAGCATTTCTTTCCAGTGTCCAGGTTCATTAGAAATCAAAGCCTATTAAGGATACTGCTTTGTAGCTATTAGATTACAAGTTAAGTGAGGGTAATTGCTTCCATTAATTGACCCTTGTATTTACGTTGTAGTACTTTGATTATTAACTCATTTAAAGTCAAGAAATTCCAGCATGCCTAAGGAATAACAAATATTTGTCTAATTTGTTAATTTTTGCACTTTTAACTTAATATCATTTTAAGCCTTCATGTTCTTCACAAATTATCCTTATACAAGATTCTTTGAACTGGATGTGGTCTCTTTGGTGCAGAAGTACATTGTCATGCTTCCTGCTCCCAACAGTCATATGCATATACATCAAGGTAAATCTTTTCTGTAAAGAGCTAATATGATTCATTGTATCATTTAAATTACAATGTCATAAGAATGTTTTAAAAATCAGTTTGGAAGAATTACTTGGTGTATGTTAGTTTCAGTACAATCATTATCCATGCTGAGAATTAGCACTGATACCTGTTGGCTACTGGATCTACTTTACAAAAGATTCCTCTCATTTGTACATCAGAAAGTGGTGATTTGACCCTATCAGCCTTGAAAGAGATGAGGGGATTCATATAATTGTGTCTGCTTGTTGAAGACCTATTTCTCATATTGATCATGAAGATGGGGTGACATATTTATATAACATTAGTTGAAAACCTAAACTATCGATAATACAAATTATTGAGTTATTCATGATGCTTGAGTAGGAAAAATGTAGCACAAAAATGCAAAGTTTAAAGCATTCACTTTAGAGGGTTTGGGAAGTCATTGTGCCTAAATGAAGGCACTAAAATGAAAAAAAAAAAAGTTGTCGATCAACTTTCTGAGGATACTTGTGCAGTAAGCAAGCATTCTTAAGCTTCTCTGGGATCTGAATACAATATTCCTTATCCAGATAAAAGGTCCAAATCCCAAGGAAAGAAAAAAAGAATCTCTCAGTCTTACCTTTGTGTTTATTGTTGCTGTTTTTCCTCTTAAAAAGTATTTAGCACTTGAGCTCAGCAACAGGTCAGTGGATTAGAAAATGTACTCCTCTGCTGGGCAAATCCTTAGAGGGAAGGAAGGCAATGTTGTGATCTCACAGTTTTATAACTTTCTAAATATTTCTACAGCACAAGGTAAGTGCTGGCACTCCTCAGTGGAACTCTGATGAATTTCTGACCACTTGAATTGCTTACTAAGGTGTCAAGTTTTTCAATTTTATAGTTCATTTTACCCTGTTGGTATCTATGACGGTTAATCTTTGTTGTCAACTTAAGTGACTTTAGATTTACCATAGAAATGAAACTTTGGATACATTTTTGAGGGTGTTCTAGAAGATGGAAGACCCATGCTGAATCCAGGTGATATCATCCCATGGGCCAATGCCCTGAAATGAAAGAAAAGAGAGAAAGCAAGGTGATCATCAGGATTCCTTTTTTTCTTCCTCTGATTCCTGACTGGATGTAAAGCAACCAGGTATCTTTTGTTTCTACCACTATGACTTCTCCATCATGATGGACTATACCCTAGAACTTTGAGCCAATGTAAACTCTTTGCTTTGTCAGACCTATCAGAAAAACAACTGACAGAGTGTCAGAAAACAAACTATGTAAGTGATGGCCAGGAAATTTAAGGGTGGATTCCCTGCATTTAGATTTGAAGGATACCATAGAGAACTTGAAATCCAACCCCTCCTTTTTATAAAGATGACTTGACCTGAATTGCTAAAAAAGTGATAGATGTGGGATTTCTTTAATGTAGAGTAGTAATGCTATACGAGTCTTTCATTTCTCCTATGTTTTCAAGGTTGCCCACATCACCAACATTCTTATTGTGGCCCCTTAAGTTAGTAATGGTGTTTAGTTTGTCATCTATAACCTCAACATCTCATCGAGTGATGATGAGGACCTGAGTCAGGAAGGTAAATATCATCTTGACAGTGTGGATTTCTTATGCTCAAATGCAAGTTTTATTAATGCCCAGTAAACAGAATTAGGTGAAATAATTAAGTTAACTAAATGTGACTTTTATTATTTTAAATGTTAAAAAAAGTCCTAACAAAATTTATTCATGACCAAAATAAAATTAGAATAAAGTGCTTAGTTACCACAGGGTAAGAAGTACAATAAATTTTCAGTGAATTCAGTTAATTTTTTTTATGGAATGTAGAATGCCTTACAGAGTTATTAAAAGATCTGGTATTTTAAACCTAGTTGTGCATTCTTTTTAGGACTACTGAGGACCAGATATGTTCTTTTGCTTTTACCACTGCAGATATAGTTTTTCTGTAAACAACCTCCTCTCAAGGCTACTGAAAACAAACACCTACTCTTAGGTTGTTCTTATGCGTCATTTGTAGTAGCGCGTTAAGCTTTATGCAGTTTATTCTAACTTATGCAAGCAGCCTCAATAAAGAGATCACGATTAAAGCTCTGAAATGCCATGCTTGAAGTAGAAAAAAAACATATAATAAAAGGGAAATAATTCTAAAAATTGCTTCCTTCACACAGTAAGTATTTTTAGGTAATTACTGTTTAGCAGGAGTTGGTCTTATAGTACAGAAGTTAATAACATGACAAAAATTTAGTGATAATTTAAGTAATCATTTTGTTTATTGTATTTCTTACATATTTACTCAATGTTAAAAATTATTCTGAGCATTTGTACACTTTTAATCCATTTATCTTACAACAAATCCTTGAGATAAATATTAATATTTTTTCTTCTATACCAAGGGAAGAAAAGCACAACATAGAGAATCTATAATATGTATACATATATCATATAAATTATAGATGCATTTTATATATGTGCAATTTATATGAAATTATACAGTTTGTGTTATCTGGGGCAGAAAACTCAAGCTATCTGTTCAAAATGCCTTATTATCCATATCAAATCAGCTAAACAAAGGTCTGTGAGTAAGAGGCTATGGGACACAAACAGAGCCATAGAGATACTACTTTGAATTTTAGTTTTAAAGTTTTAAAAATTTAGTTTTAAAGATTTTATTTTTATTTTTTTATTATGTGTATAGGTGTGTACTTGATGGGATGGGGTAAGGGTATGTGCACATGTTGGGAGCATTAAAGTTCTTGCACCCACAGATCTCTGTGGAAACTAGGAATGTTAAGCACACAGGACTGTCTTGTCAATAGAAAAGATGTAAAACCTGTTTTCCACCCCAAAAGCTCAGAATTTTGGAGTGATTACCAGCCTGGTGATCTGTGATATCTGTTGAGCCAGGCCATACCAAGCTTCTACAGACAGGACTGGATATACCTAATAGTCTAATTGACCCTTACATTATCTGTATAGCCAGGGGCTCCCCCAAGCTTTCACAACTAGGACCAAACAGGTGGCTAGTAGCTCAACTGACCACTATACTGTCTATATGACTAAGACCAGGTCAGATACTTCTTTATGCCCTTAAGTTAATACAGGTTGCTTATATCCTTATATAACCCATCTTCATGTATGAAATGATATGTACACTGAGTTTAATTTAAATGTAATTATGATATCTTGTGCACCAGAAATTGTATTGTACCAGAAAACTTTCCCAAATTATACTGTGTTCAAAAATGCTGGTAATAAACCATCTGGCATCAGGCTACCTGAAGTTTGATCCAGGTTGACAAAGTCAATCTGAACCAAATTTTTATTCTGAACTTTTTGTGGCTCACTGTCTGCCTGACACCTACAGGAATCCCCTTATGCACATTAGTGCAGGTGGTTATGGAGGCCAGAAGAAGGAAAAGAACCTATGGATCTGGAGTCATGGGCATGGGTTCTGGGAGTCAAACTCAGTTTCTCTGCAATAGAACAAATAAACAAACAAACAACAACAGCTAAACCTCCTAATTACTGAGCCCTCCCAGGCCCCCGACTTACTCTTATTTGAAAGATATCATTTTAAAGAATTTTAGCCATTTTTTGGAAAGTACTTTGGGTTATGTTCAGTCTAAGAAACACCAATCTTGTGTTGTCTTGGAAGAGGAAAAAGGACAAGGAGAGAGGGGTGTTGTTGGTGTAGGAAGGAGAGGGAAAGAGAGGGAAAGTAGCTTTTAAAATAATTATCACCAACAACTTACCTAGTGAATTTCCAATTATTGGGTCTCAGCTAAAATTAAAACTTTTGCTAAGTTTAGGGATAAATAAACTATATAGTTCATGAGACATATTAGATTTGTAACTACATATCATCAATATATATTTGATATTATGTACATAGATGCACAGGTTCTTCTGTACATATGTGCGCCATGTGTTTGGAGACTATGCATTTAATTTTCATGTTTTTAATACTCTCTTATTATTTGACAGAGCTAGGTACCCAACTTAGTGTGTTTTCACTAAATTAATAAATGCTGCCTGAACAATTCCCCTTACTCGATAATAAGCATGTTGGTTAACAGCTCAGTGTGAGGGAAGGAATGTAAACTCTTTTAAAATATGACCTATGTGGGTAACTCACAGAAGCTCAAAATCTTTTCTATTTGGTTCCTCGATACTGTGATTATTCAGAATGGTTAAATAATCTTGGAAATTGCTGAACCTGATGAGAACTTTAATTTCAAGTCTTTGAAGTACTCTCCTTGACACCTCACTACTTTTATGGTTGTCTTCAAAGTTCACACTGTCTCATTTACAAAAATCTCTATGTAGATCTATTGCAAATTGTATGTCATGTCTGCTGTGCTCATCATATCCTCATCAACATATTTTGAGGTTATTAATAACATGATAATTTTGAAGTGTTATGTAAAAAAGGAGCCTTTTATGTAAAGGAGATCGCGTTAATCCAAGCTGAAGTTTGTGCAGTATAGGCTTAAGGGAAAAGAAATTTGAATGCAAATCAAATTGGAGTCTTTCTTTTTCTATTTTTTTTTTTCTGGAAATGCTCTGTTTAAGTCTAGGAGGGAATGACTATAGTTCTGACTAAAACTTAGCCTCTTCTCTTATATTTGATTAGAAGGGAAAGAGTTTCTCTCCTTTTAAGAAAAGTGTTTGTTAAAGGGAACTTTATTACATTTCCATCCATATTGTGTAGATACTGTCTGTGCACCTCATGGTGATGTGTGTAGCTCTTGAAGCACAGAAAGACATAAAATAATCAGTGGATTGAATGAAAGGGAGACCCAAAGAAGGTGTTTTTTTCCTGAAAGATTTGTAATGTTAGGAGAGGGGGCATACAAAGGGAACTTCCTCATCCGGGGCCTAATCATTATGTCAGCCGCTGTATGCAGAGAAATGTTACTATAAGAGCACAAAGCAAACAATGTAGTATCTCCTCCCCTTTGGTAAAACAACATCAACTTTTTTATTTGTAGGAATATTAGTGTTTTATTGTCCTCAGAATCCCTTCCTTTTCCTTCAATTTTTTAAAATTGGTTATATTTTTTTTGAGCAGAGCAGAGTATGGGATGTTGGAGAAATGACTCCATGGTTATAAGCACGGACTGCTTCTCCAAAGGTCCAGGGTTCTAGTCCCAGCACCCACATGACACCTCATAATTGTCTGTTATTCCAGGTCCAGGGGATTCCATGCCTACTGTGACTCCTGTGGCCAAAAATCACACCAACAGTAAACAGGAAAATGTGCAGGCAAAACACTCGTATATGCTGTGGGATGTTCTGTATGTCCTGTGGGAGCCCTTCTTGGGTTCTTTGTGGTGTTACCCAGCAGGTCCGCATAGAGGATGATTAGGACCATGGGCCTGAGTGCAGGTGTCTGAGATGGTCTGCACTTGGCTGTGCTGGGGGATGGTCTGTATGTCAAGTTGTTCT